TGATCATTTCATGTCACTTACTGAATATTAGTAGTTGGACATGCAAGGCCGTACAGTTTAGCCAGCACTTTGCACACAAGCCTGGTTATCTTTGCTTTAGTGCACTCCATTGTAATAGCTATTTACCAAAACCCTGCGTCACTAACCAGTATGGCATTTTACTCTTGGCATTATTGCAATAGTACCCTCATGACTTCAGAAAGCATGTACTTGCACTTCAAAAAGCCTTGCAGTACCCTCTGAGCAGCTAGCACACAAGGCTCAGAGAAGGGATGTGCTGTAAGGCTGATTCTCAGCTAGTTGAAGACGAGACTCATCACAAGGTTACACACCTTAGAAGAAAGGTTAGAAGAAAGTATGTCAGCTGCCAGCTATCTTTGTACTGAACTTTCTATCCTCTGGGCAGGGAGCTGACACCATCGGTCTTCCGGCTTGCAGCCTTCATTACCAAACCAAAATCCTCAGAGCCTCTCCCTCATGGCAGCAGAAGCCAGCCCAGAGCTAGTCGTGAATTGTCTCTCCCACAATTGACTCCTGATGTTTACCTGCGTGATTGCCTATGGAGAAACTTCTGCCAGAGGGACAGGCAGTCCCAAGGCACCTATCTCTTTAGTAAAGTGTTCATGTGAGGCAGCAGGATCATTAAGGCTCAGAGGAAAAAAAAAAAAATGGAAAGAAGATAGCACATCCCAGTGTGCTTACTGTCAATGCCTCTGCTTGCAGTCCTCCACGTCTCCTTTCAAGTATTCTAGGAAAAACTGTTCTGGTTAAACTAGAGCATAAAATGTGTGGGTTTTAGTCACATACTCGCTTTCACATTTCTCTCCTCTCTGGAGGAACAGTGTTGCCCATCACACTGGAGAGATGCAACTTTTGTAAACAGGAGGTATTGCCTCTCCATTAGCTGTGATTCTCCCCTTGAGAAGGGAAACCCTGAGCTCCGGGGCAGAGACCCTCACCATGTGGAGTATTAAAGGAAGCATCTCAGGACAATATGAATCTGCCTGCACCGCTGAAATCCCCTTGTCTAGCACTTTGTTATGAGATATTATAGGTCTGCCAGACAATGCAGATTAACCAATCCTTTTTATTAAAATAACAATGAGTAAATCCTCTTCCACAGTCACACATGCTTTGACTAAGTGGAATCACTTTCTTGGCAATGAGGCAAATTACTGGTGGTGATTCAGATCACCCTCTTCCAAGCAACTACCTAGATTCTGTTATAAACAAATCATGTTTTACACATTTAATGAGTAATTTTGTTCCATATATTCATTGGAGATACAAGCATAAGACATGAAGAATGTGCTGGAAATAACTGTTGTTGAAACCAATAGGTAGAATGAAATATTTTACAGAAGATGTCTGCTAACCTTCAAGCCTAAGGTAACAGAAAGCAGAAAAAGTTTCAAAGTGCAAAATGAGAGTAAGAGATCAATAGCAAAAAGGTCCAATACACAGTGGGATCTTGTTAAGTGAAATTGCAGGAGAGGAGAAAATTGCCAGTATATCAATAGATCATAGCCCAATTGGGTGCCACTGGTAGGGTTTGGTAGTGGAAGAAGGCAAATACTATCCTGTGACATAGCAGGAGTGTTTCTTTGAGAGCAGGCATTAATGCCATGGTACAAACACCAGTTAGTCTCTACTGGAGCAATAGAGCATCATTTTTGTTGAACAGGGATTTATTTAGCCTTGAGCAAGTATTTTAAGAACACACAGGAATCAACGGGTTGAAAAGCCAGTATCTCAGGAAAGGGCAAATGAGGTTGGTTTGTTTAAGAAGAGTTTGGGAGGAGATGCAGTCGTACAACACATGAAAGAAGAAAAAGAGCTATTGAAATGAAAGGGAAATGTTTGTGTAAGTAAACTTAGGCCTACATGATTCATGGCTACATTGTGGTTGGAAATTAAGAAGCAACATTGCAGGGTGACAGACCATAGTAACTTAAACTTGTCTAAACATGGACTGTCACCTGGCTACGTTTCCTCTCCCTCCTTGCTGTAGCCTGTGACAGACATGCTGGTGGAATATTCACATAGAAACAGGTGTCCTTCTATATGCATTAAAGGGCTAAAATATTCCTATAGTTATCATAAGCAAAATCTGGCTTTTTGTTTTTAAATTCATTGAAGCAGGGAAGTAGGCAGGCAGAAAAGATGGAGCACGGAATCTGTGGTGAGCACTAACCTGTTCCCTTTGCATAAGTGCCAGTAAAAATGCTGGTGCATGTCCTGGATGCAAGCCTGTTTGCAGAGCTCCAAGACTGCACTGCTCTGCTACTCAGGGCGGCTTAACTTAGGAAGGAGGAAGACCCTCAGTGAGTTTTAGCAATTACTAAACAAAGAGATATGTTGAACAGAAACAGCAGAGCGTCTTCGCAGTATGCTTGTCCCTCTCCTGTGTCTGGCAGGATGCCTGACTGCTAGGGTGATACAAACCCATATGATATTTTCACTTACTTCTGGGCAGCATTCCTGGGACATGGAAACTGTGTACACAGCTATAGGATGTAGGTAATTGCATCTGGAAATACACAACCAAAATTTCTGGGCTGTGAGTCAGTTGTGGAACATCTGAGCAGTGTGTTTTCTGCCAGGCAAAGGGAGCAATTTGTGAGAGTTTTTTACAGCAGCAATACCTTCTGCCATTGGGATGTCCTCCAAAAAAAAAGAGAGGGGGAAAGTGACAAGTCTATTGGCAGGGTTTTATCAAGACCCTTTCCTTCTTTCCTCTATGATTACACAAATGTGCTTATTTTCATTATTTTCACAGCAAGATCCCTCTGTGGGATACATGTGTGTAACTTGCCCTTGGAAATGCTAGGACCGAGGTTTTGGTTTTGAGATCCTCTTTCTTAGGGGTGATCATATGCATCAGATGAGCATATGTAATCCTGTAGTTTTCCTGCGGTTGCAACAGTGGTAACAGTGGATGCACTGCACTCTCTCCATATTCTTTTATCTGCATTATTATCTTGCCTGGCTCTGTAGTGCACTTTGCTGGTAGAGCCATTTGTCTGTGCCTTTTGTGAACCATTATCCTACTGTCTTTCCTTTTTCCCCACTACTTCTCAGTGTCGATTAGGGAAGAAGGAATTACTACTGTCAAGAAACTAGTGCTGGAAATGTTACTACAATCTGTAGGTTTCTAAAGTTGTCTGCAGAAATTTATCCCAGCTCTTGAAGAAGCAAAAAAATACTGCTCCCAGGTCTGCAAATGTCTGCAGAAGCCCTAGGGCCTGGGTGAGCAGCACTGAGTCTGCCACCAGCCACTGCCATTCATTCCCAGAGCTCACTCTATTCCTCTCCAGTCCCAGCAATAAGGAAGCAAAGCCACAAGCTCAAGTGTCCAACAGTTCCTGGCCATAGGATCCTTCCTGAGTCCCAAAACTTAAACAGCTGACTTCTTTACAGTCATGGTGGAAAGCAATAAACTAAAGCATTTATTAAACAATAACTGCCATGGGGAGAGTGGATAGATATATAATGTGTATTCAGTTCCTATATAAGCACTGTAAACTGCTTGAGAGAAGGAACTTAATCATTCTCTTCCTAGCTACACAGCCTGTGATTTTACCATAATGCTATAACACAAAGCTCAGATAACATTCACACTAGGTTTGCAATAACGCGACCACTGTGAGGTTAACTGAGGCTCTCAAAGTAAAAATGGTTTGCCCTGATCCCATTGGGAATCAGGGGGAGGACCAGGTGCAGAACATAGAAATCCTCTCCCAGTGCCACACTCTGGGCACTTCACAACTTCCTGCCCTTCCCCTTCTGGGCTCTCGGCTTTTCCTCAGCGGCATCGACTTCGCTGTGATTCTGATTTACTGTGGCTGCAGTGCAATCTGAGAGTTGGGAAGAAGATGAAGGGAGTGCAAGACTGACTGTTTTTCTTCTTATTACCCAGCTGTTTTTGTATGAGGTGCGTGGGGGTGTGCTGTGATGGATAATGTGGACAGGGATAAACCTGACGCGTGGAGTTCTGTGATGGGGAGGGAACTGCAGTTCTACACCACAGCAGAGGAACATGACCCTGAGCCACAGAGAGTGCACAGCCCTGGTAGGAGATAAGAGCCCCAGATTTGGGGCAGCAAACTCCACCCAGCTCCGTGATCTCACCTGTCTGCTGTGGCTGGCTGGAAGCCGCTGACCACTATGGCTGCCTCCATTCGCCGTGTGGGGTCATGGAGCAGGACAGGCTGCAAAAATACCCAAAGGCACAAACGAATCTCATGTAGTGCACAGGAATCTGGGTGGTGAATGCAAAAGCAAGGTAAGCAGCACCCATTGGCAAGCATCTCAGAAACACAATGAGTTTTCTGCGGATCCAACCTCCACATTTCTGAGTTCTCCACATGTATATCTACTATCTTTTTTTTAAAAAGAAAAACCTGTCATGTTGAATTCACACCAGAGAGAGACAGATTCAACCAATGAAAGAGTTGTTACAGCAATCCCAAAGGAAAACCTAACAGCACACTAGAACCCAGGTGTTGTCTAACAGCAAACTGTCTCCCTGCCCTCCCATTGAAACATCCACCTGTGTATTGATCCTCACATGAGCACACAATTCTCTCACTTCTCCACTCGCATCTAGGCAGCAGGTCACCATCATACTGAGAGTCCTGTGGCAGTGACTTGACTCTGACCATCCTTTCTAGCAAATGCATGGGAAGGGGAGCTGTTGTCCTTAAGAGCTACTGTACACCTCTGCTCTGCACACGTCCCCCACACAATGCTAAATGTGACTCCCCAAAAAGAGGGCTAGCACTGCTTTCTGCACAGCAACATTTGTGACCCACTTGCTTTTTCCGTATTAAAAACCCCACCTCATTTAATCAATTCTTTTACAGATTTTCACTTTGGAGAAGCCTCAGACATACCTGTGCCCTGAGCCCTGCACCAGCTGCCATTGCTCTGGGCAAATTGAAAGGTCCATCTGGATTTTCCAGAAAGTTAATTTGCTCCATATGACTGACAATAGGTGCATGGTAAACCTGCAAACTGTGCACACAAAGCAGCTCAACTGTTTGTCTTTCTGTCTTCAGTGCAAGGAGTTCACCCTCCACACTGGCTACGAGGTGCTCATACAGCGGCTGTTGGATGGGAGGAGGATGTGCAAAGACGTGGAGGATTTGCTCAAGCAGAGGTAAGAAAATCAGAGTGAAAAAAAGTGTGAAGTGTGAACATTTTTTGTCCTGTTTGGCATCTGGAAAGGAATAGAAGGCTGTTTCTGAATTTGGTAGTGGTACTAGTTTACACAGAAGAGCCTGAGTGATTTGAATCCTAGCTTTTGACATGTTTTGTGAAGGTAGATAACAAATAGAAATTTCAAAGATTTGAGAAGAGAAAAGAGGGGTGAAAGAATCCAAAAACCAGAGTGCCATTAAGACTCAAGTAGTTACTGGTCCAGAATCACACTGTAGCACATACATCCACAACAAGCAGCATTATCAAGTTTCCCCTTTTACAGGAAGCATTTTTCTTTCTCTTTAAAAATGCTGTTGCCACAGGCACTGTTTCAGTTTCCTGCAACTACCAAAAATGGGCTATTTTTCAAATACAGACAAAGGTATGTAAGATACTACAAAAAGCCTTTCCCAGACACCCAAGACAGCCCACATCATTCGCTGACCTTACAAGACTTTGAATGACAATGTTGTAGATTATGTCCGTTCTTTACATGCTTCTTGGAGCCCCCCAACAACAGCTATGAACATCTGACACTTCTGTGGGTCAGAAGAAACGTATTACACAGCTGCTCTGACTCCCTTGCCATTCATTTTGGTACTTCTGACTTAGAAAAAAACACCTGAAATTTGGTTCTGGTTTTAAGTGGTTGGGTTTCAGCAGTTTCAATACGTAGCATCAGGCACCTACATGCTTATGCATGTCCTGCAGGAAAGACCACACAGTCACGGATTATATGTTCAGCAGCTAATCCTAGAGCAATTAATCTCAGAGCTGTCTCCTTATGACTATTTCTCTGCCTTCCTCAGTCACAGCCTGCTTTTTCTTCCCATGCAGTCTCCATCTAGTTTTCTGGGTTTAGGTTAGTTTTCTGAAGGCTACTTTTCAAGCACCGGGACTTTCAAGGGGATGCAAGCTGTCAAACTGAAACCTATTTCACAGGGTGTAAAGAATCTCCCATCAAAATCTGAAGCTATTTGAACTGCTTTTCTTGACCACCAGTGGAAATGTATTTTATTGCTCCATGTCACTCAGTCCTGAAGTCACATCTGTCCGATGGTAGCTTAGCTTTAACTGTTTAAAATAGCCCCTTTGTGACTCATAACTCACAGAGATCAGAATTACATTGCAGGCTTTAGGCAGGCTCTACGCTGCAGCACACATCTGATGCTATATACACCTGTGTTTCTATCCAGAACATACCAGAGTGATTTCTGCAATTCCTGGGATAAGGTTCTTCCTGGTTTGTGGTGGAGTCACAAAGGCCTTGACACAAAGAACATACGCATAGTCATTTTGCACATCTGAAAGCTGCAAGAACAAATGTTTCCACAAATTCTGCACACCCCCAAAACATGGTAGTGAGCATGCATGTGTGCGTGCTTCTGCATGTACATGCAGGTTGGGGAGGAGGAGACGGAGAACAGATAGCAGGCACGGAGTTGCAGAAAGAAGGAATTATTTCCAGTTCACTTCTGGAAGATGTTTGTTTCGGCTTGTCGTCATGTAATTAATGGGAATGACCTAAGAGGAGATCAAAGCATGGGATGAATCTCTGTTCCTTCGAGGCTGCCCATATCGTGGGCTTCATGCCAGCATTTCAACAAGGACTCCTGCAACAGCTGCCCTGAGTCCTGAAACCAACTGCCCTGGCTACACTAACGCTTACCAGTTTTCCACCCACGTCAATGACTTTTGCACACAAATAGCCCTGCCTGGTCCAGAGGAGGGCCTAAGAGGTCGGGGAGGGAGAAAGCAGTTGTATTCCAGAACAAAGCCCCAGATTTAAAACACAAAATACGTTCCAGCTCTCGATGGCTACACAGAAACCTAGAAGCTGTGTGCAAGCGAACCGGAAAGCATGAAAGGCAGCACCGAGGTGTGAAAAGATGGTGTCAGCCTCCTGTCCAACTCCTGCAACCCTGGGCTAGTCCAGTCCCATGCCTGAGGTTTCAGGAAGATTTGACCCAAGGTTTCTGCAGGAGCTGGGACTGGTTTAAGAGCCAGCCATGCTTTTTTCCTGTGATACACTGTGTACTGAGCAAGCAAAGTAGGACTGCAGCCTTGGGATTATTCTAATTGCTGTACAGCCACCGACACTAAGCAAGGTCTGAAATAAAAGTGTTTCTTGTATTAAAATCAGAAGCAAATTAATCTATTCTACTTGTGCAATATTATGTGTCTCTGGAATACATTTCCGTTGTGAAGAAATTTCACTCATCTAACATGAAAATGAAGTGGTACCTCTGTGTGGCCTGTCACTGTATTTTGCACCCCACTCTTCTAGGAGCAATCCCAAAGCAGCGATATAGGAACACCCCACTAAAATGCACCGAGTTCTAGTGCAGGATGACAGCAATTAACTAGCCGCACGTGCAGCATTAGGCACATGGGAGCCATGGATAGCGGCCAAGACCAGCCTCCACTCAGGGCTGTGGCGACTGTAGGCTGCTGTAGACCCTCACGGCTACTCCAGCAGCCTGACAGACCTCCATGGGCTGGGGGGAAGTCCCCAGCATAAGCCTGCCTCAGGTCACAGAAAATGGTTGCAAACCAGTGAAATTGCACCAGAGCCACCAACACAGCTGGCTACAACGCAAGGTGCTCACAGCCATCACATGCAGAGGAGCAGTTGAAAAAGTGGTTGCATGTTCTCAGAGACCCACCCCAACAGCTGTCGTGTTGCTAAACTGAAAGACCAGTCCTCAAACCGCTGGAACTCAGCAAATGGCAAAACACAGCACAGCATGGCCAAGTGAGAAGGTGAATGTAAGAGCAAACCAGCGTGGGTTGCATGGCCTTGCACCTACATCAAAATCCCTTTTGTGACCACAGAGTACATTTCTCCAAGGTGCCAAGTTTCAGGCTCAAAACTATTTGAAATGCTTTGAAACCCCATTGGACAACTGGATGTACCCTAAACTAAATCCTACTCCCCCCTCCCCCCCAAATCCTAGCACCATGCTATCTGTTCATTATTTATGATTAACCATTCCATAGTTTTTAGCAGCTACTTGAAGACTGAAAATTCAGTTCTGTCTTCTACCCAGGAGAAAAAAAATAACATACTGTGCTGGTTTTGGCTGGGACAAAGTTAAATTTCTTCCTAGCAGCTGGTATGGGGCTGTGGGTTGGGTTCGGGGTGAACACAGTGTTGATAACTCAGGGGTGTTGCAGTTACCCCTTACACAGAGCCAAGGCCTTTCCTGCTTCTCACCCACCCCACCAGCGAGGAGGCTGGGGGGGCACAAGGAGCTGGGAGGGGACACAGCGGGACAGCTGACCCCAGCTGACCACAGGGATATTCCAGACCATATGGCATCATGCTCAGCAATAAAGCTGGGGGAAGAAGGAGGGAAGGAGGACATTCGGAGTGATGGCATTTGCCTTCCCAAGTGGCCATTAGGTGTGATGGAGCCCTGGTTTCCTGGGGTTGGTTGAACACCTGACTGCCATGGGAAGTGGTGAATGAATTCCTTGTTTTGCTTTGCTTACGTGCACGGCTTTTGCTTTACCAGTTAAACTGTCTTTATCTCAACCTACAAGTTTGCTCTTTTACTCTTCTG